TTTTTTGAACATTAAAGCATGTCAACATATTCTGTTACACCAAATACACAAAATAATGATCTTTAAAAAAGCATCATATGACCCCTTTAATTTATCTGCTCTAGGGTTTTTCTGAACTCAGCTCACCTCAAATGACTTGTTTTTTTCAGGTAAAGCTCTCTGTGCTGATCCTTTCCTCGTCTTATTTGACCGTGTCATTGTGAGCAGATTAAACTAGCCTGGCTTTCATTGCTTGCGTCTCATAACCGATATTTTAGGGATGATCACATATAATAGTCCGTGGTTATGTAGTTACTCTTGAGGCTATATCGTGAGAGCATGTTATGTAATACTTCAGGAGGTGTGTAATAGATCCCAGTGACAGTGAGAAGGGTAAGACGATGTGGAAGGTGTTCAGTGGACTTTGTTTACTGCTGTTATTAGGCTCACTAGCATTGTTTAAGTGGTCTGGATGCCTTTAGTTAGCAGAGCAAAGGTGGGCCAAGTTGATTAGGCAATTGCCAGTGAAAAAGAATGTTATGGAATGTTACAGCTCAAAATAGTGATGTTCTGAGAAGTTATGTCAAAACAAAGTTGCATCTCCGAACAGTAATATTCTAGAATTTGAACCTCTCAAAACAGCAAGAAGTCTCAATATTCCAGGAAGTTTCATCTTCAAACAGTGATATTCTAGAATTTTGCCTCGTACTGATACTGTGCAAAGTTGTGTCTCGAGTGATGATGATACTTCAGAAAGGTATAAATCTAACTGCGATATTCTAGAAAGTTTTGTCTTCACACAGTGGTGTTGTAGTATGTTGCTACTCAAAATAGTGAAAGCAAAGTAGGGAAAGAGTGTTTTTGTCACTAGGTGATTCAAAGAAATACGCTTAACATTTGATCTGTTGGTAAAAAAAATCACAGATTAAAGAACACTTCAAGAAGCACTTTCTGTTTAATATTAAATAATCAAGATGATGTTTCTAACTTGAAAGGCAATAATTTGCCTTAAAAATGCTTCTCATAACTTAACAGATTTTTATCCTTGAATGAGCGTATGTAGAAGTACAGAAATTATCCATAATAAAATGTGTGTAAAGTGACTCAAGGTACCCAATTAAGATGCATGTTAATCTGTGTCCTTTTTAAAATATTAAAATATGTAAATGAACGTATTATTAGTTAATATTGATGTGTTGCCATCTGTTTGTTTTTTATGCTTTTGATTTTACACTCACCAAGGCTGCATTTATTTGATCAAAATTAGTCAAATTTGTAGCATTGTGAAATATGAATTAAAATTTTAATTACATTTTAAAAAATTTTCTGTTTCAATATATTTTAAAATGTCATTTATTCCTGTGATCAAAGCTGAATTTTCAGCATCATTACTCCAGTCTTCAGTGTCACACGATCCTTCAGAAATCATTCTAATATGCTGATTTGCTGCTCATGAAATATTTCTTACTATCAATGTTGAAAACAGTTGTGCTGATTAAGATTTTAGTGGAAACTTCTGTTTTTGGGCCTCTGATGTTTTTATCACAGTAACTGTATAATTTCTTTATTATTCTGTAATACAGCTGGTAAAAAGGCTTTGCACTGTTTAACTTAATTCCTGCCCACACAAGTACCATATTTATTACCACTTCATGAACATATTTCACCAAAAATTATGCTTTTACAGATCTATTCAGTTCATTCCTATGAGACTAAGCAACCCACAAGCTTAGCGAAGGGTCAGTGTGTAATTGGTTAAAGCCTAATTGGTAGGCGGGGCTATTACATAACAGCAGCGCGCACGTGTGTGATGATGCATGGAGTCAGCAGTAATGCGACCCGTCCCAGTGCCCAGGCCTAGAGACAAACCTGGGGACCTGCACTAATGGTTCATAATCATCAGAAAAATATGCACACTCTGTATGTTTTTTATTTTGATGAAATATGAACCTAGAAACACAATCATAACAACTAAAATTTAAGCTAAAAATTTTGATTTTGTTAATATTTTTTCTCAAGAAAAACAAACATAAATAGTGATGAAAGCCAACATATTAAATGCCATGGATGAATATTTACAGAGTAATCCACTGTTTTGTAGAAGGAGGTCAAAATGGCAATTGGAGATTTGGAGCCAAATTAGAGGAGGGGTCAATAACTTTAGAAAGATGGCAGCATCATTATTTTATTTTTTTGTATATTTATTAGTAAAATCTGTTGACTTTAGCAACCTTCGTTGCATTATATGCCAATGGTGACGATTTAAAAATGTAAAAAAAGCACTTTTTTTTTTTTCCCTCTCCCAAATTTTGCACATCTGTAACTCAAGAAGTATCGAAGACATCTTAATATAATTTTATATTCTGGTTCTTAACAAACTTTTCTTCTGGCATCTTCATTTTTAAGGCCCTATATGATTCATTTCCAAAGATATGGGGATCTCAGTGTTGCTTCACGAGTAAATTTCCAATTAAAAATGATCAAAATCAAAGCAATGACCCTATTGCATCTGTTTATGTTTTTGAACAATTCTCATCTGAGCCGACTATAGGCTACTTCAGTATTTTCAAATGGGTCTTTTTGAAGTTATTTTTTTAGTGCAAACCATGTCAGCAAATCATGTATCATTGTATAAATCTGAGATTGTGTTTCATATTCTAGGTACATTCCTCCTCTACTATGGGGTAAAAGTGGTCATCTGCAGACAGCCCTCTATGGAAAGTTGGGTCGGGTCAGTTCACCACACCCGTTCGGCCTGCGCAAATATCTGCCCATGCAGGACGGAGCCACGGCAACTTTTGACCTCTTTGAACCCCTGGCGGGTCATCAGTCCAGAGGTCAGTGCCACGTAGTTGGGTTTATTTAGTCTGAGCTGGACCGTAACACTACACTCATGTGGAAACCTGATAAATGAGAGTCTCTCATTCAGGTTCAAAGAGGAAGTGTCATTTAAATGACATATAAATAGTTTGCTTCATCATCATTCTGAAGAAGAGGTATTATTTACAGCAATGCTTATCTATGTGAAATGCCATTCAGCTTTTATGTAATGTGACCTTTTTATGGAAGCTTATTTCCACCAGAGAATAAAAATATAATAAAGATAATTGCGATTTTTTTATTTTGCAATTCTTTATTCTCGTAATTCTGAGTTTATATCTTACTATTCTGCCTTTTTTTATCTATCTATCTATCTATCTATCTATCTATCTATCTATATTAATTTCATATCATTAAACTTCTAAATTGAATTTGCCAAGATTTATAAAGTGAACTCTGCAAGAGGTTTAACAAAAAACATAACAAACATTTTAATAATACTTAAACTCTAATCTATTCAATTTCAAGATGAGATTTAAATGTTTCAAAGCCTCGTGAACTGTAAAGCACTGCTGCATTTGACTTAAGAGAATGACCAGAAGATGGCAGTATCCTCCATGACATGCATGTAGTGTGCCTGGAATCATCTGTTTAATATTCAGTATCAGGACAGAATTAGGAGAAAATATTTCAAAAGAGACTGAATTTCTTGAGGCCTACTTTTTATATTTTAATATTAATTAAACTGTGTTTATATTACATATTATTTTTATAACATTTATATATAAACTCACAAATACCTTTTTTATTTTCTTATTCCATGGAGGAAATAAAAAAACAGAATCATGTAAAGTCAGAATTCTGAGAAAAAAGTCTGAATTGTGAGAGAAACTTGAGAGCAAAAATCAGAAATTGAAGATAAAAAGATGCAATTACCTTTTTTAATTCTGTGGCAGAAACAAGCTTCCATACCATACCTTTTTGGGTTACCTTTAGAATTTTACATTTTAATAAAGAGGTTTAAAGAAAGATGTCACATTTAAATTTCAGTTGTTAATGGCAATTAAGACATTTTAATAATTTAGAATAACATGAATGTTTTTAAGAGCCGATTTTGAGATAAACATAGCACAGAAAATAAATGAATAAAGTAATATACGAAAAAATGTAATTGTAAAATAAATACATGCATTTGTATTATTGCAATTTCAATGCATTGGAAAGTGAATTTTTGCAGCTATGTTGTTATTCAATGTATTTTGCATTTGTTTGCTCTGAGCCAATATTGTGACACATTATCTGGAAAAGAAAAGATCAACAGTATGATAATGTTGAGCAACTCAAACATTTGCCTGCATACATTTGCATTTATTTGTCTAAATGTGAGATCGCTTCCAAAGCAAGTGCTGTAATATTTTGTGTTGAATATTTTGTGGTGATTTGACAGAGGATGTCACCACGGTCATCTGTCCTGGCATTGGGAACCACAGTGAGAAGCACTATATCCGCACATTTGTGGACTATTCACAGAAACAGGGCTACCGCTGTGCTGTGCTCAATCACCTCGGGGCCTTGCCGAACATTGAGCTTACCTCTCCTCGCATGTTCACCTACGGTACGAGACATTTATAGTTTGACGAGCAAATGTGTTTATTCAGGAAACTTTATATTTCTAGAGGGATACAGTGAATGAATTAGACACTTTTCAGTTAATTGAATAAAGCGGTAATCCACGCAAGCCTGTCTTTTTATTACAGTAAAGAATTGTGATTTTTTTTTTAATGTAAATTTTAATTTAAGTGTGTTTTTGGACTGTGGACTGTTTTTTGTGTAAATCATGTGTTTGGTCATAATTTAAACCTTTGGCCTTCCTAATTCCACCTTTGCGATCCTATACATACATTTGTGCAATCAATACATTCATCTGTGCTGTTTGCTGTCTGCTTTTTTGTTTTATTTTATTTTATTTGAAGTCTTTATTCTATTTTCAGTTTTTATTTTATTCTATTAATTACTTTTTAATTTAATCTGGTTTTATTTTATCAGATGTTATTTTATATTTTATCAGATTTAATATGAATTTGAATTTGAGCTTTTATTGTGTTTGAGAATTGTGCAATTAAAATGCTTGGTCATAATTGAAAAGTTATATTTTTGGCCTTTCTAATTCCACCTCCTAATCCTAAAGCCATACATGTACTGTCAATACATACATTTTATTTTCTTTCTTTATTTCTTTATTTATTATCATATTATGAATTTATTTTATTTCAATTTATTTATTTTCTTTATTATAATTTATTTCCGTTTTTATTTTATTCTGTTTTTATTTTATCAGGTGTTATTATATACTTTAGCATATTTTATTTACGTTTATTCTATCAGATTTTATTTGATCAGTTTTTATAGATGTAAATATTCATTTTATAATGCTAAACTAGTCCGTTTTGGTGACTAGTCAACTTCATGTTCTGTTTCCACATATTTTGTTGTAGATACTGGCAAAATGAAGGTGTTTTTTATTCTTTTTTTAATTTCTCTCCACAGGTTGTACATGGGAGTTTGCAGCAATGGTGGGCTTCATCAAAAAGACGTATCCCCAGACCAAACTTATCGTGGTGGGCTTCAGTCTGGGGGGGAATATCGTGTGCAAGTTCCTGGGAGAGAACCGTACCAACCAGGAGCGGGTTCTGTGCTGTGTTAGTGTGTGCCAGGGCTACAGTGCACTAAGGTGAGCCGCTCTGTTCCCAGACAGAAGCTACATAATACCTGATGTTGCTCCAGAGGGTGTGGGACAGGGATCCATGAAGGGTTGGGCATACTGCCCAGATAAAACTTTTGCCAGCTTTCTTTGGGTAGAAGATGGACCATTTCATCACTACTGTCAGTGGACTCCGACTGAACTCACAGTGTGTACATTGTAGTTAGTGATATAAAAGGCACAGATGGTCTCAGCTGACATTTGCATGTTGCATGAAACTCGTGCAAAGTAAACACACTCTGTTTGTACATTTGTATAAACATATCTCTTAGCAAATTTCTAGGGCATGTTTAAATTCTCCCAAAGGAAGTCAAAAGTGCTAAGCACCTCTATTTCAACAAATTCAATGAGGTGCATTTCAGTTTCAACATTTGGCTACAAAATGTAATTCAAAAGTATTTTTTTTTATTCAGCAAGATGCGTTACATTGATCAAAAGTGACATTAAAGACATTTATAATATATTACAGAAGATTTATATTTTAAATAAATGCCGTTTTTTCTAACTTTCTATTCACCAAAGAATGCTGAAAACAATATCATGGTTTCCACAAAAATATTAAAGTGCACAACTGTTTTTCATCATTATTGTTGATAATAATAAATGTTTCTCGAGCAGCAGATCAGCATATTAGAATTATTTCTGAAGGATCATGTGACGCTGAAGACTGGAGGAATGATGCTGAAAATTCAGCTTTAAGAAATAAATTACATTTTAACATGTATTCAAATAGAAAACAGTTATTTGGTGAAATAAATGCCACCTTGGTGAGCATAAGAGACTTCTTCCAAAAACATTTTAAAAAATCCTTCTGATCCCAAACATTTGAATGGAAGTGTAGAATTGCAGATTAGCACAAAGTTATAATGCTTGAAATTTAGGATGCTGATATCAGTAATTTATCGACTTTTTCAATACATTCCCCCATCAGTACTGCACAGACTAATGGCTTACATAAACATTTGTAGGCCTAACCGTTTGTAGACTTCTTCCAAAAAATAAAAACAACTTCCTGACCTCGAATATTTTAATGGTTTAAGTAAAAAGTCAGTCTGGTTAGTTTTAACTAGCACCAAATAGAGTCACCAAGTCGTGTTCACCTGAAGAGGTAACCATAGCAACAGTAGGCCACTCTAGTGAGCTCTATGTAATAAGCATTCAATATTAGTCGGTATATAGGCTAGACCAAAGCCAAAGTACTTTCGTTATATATTAGTTTATTATACAGTAGATAAGCTTTTGAGATATGTAAATCTGATTAGACTTATATGGTAGAACCAAAAAAAGTGATTGCATACTTTGCACACTGGCTGTAAATATTTACATTTACATTTAGCAGACGCCTTTATCCAAAGCGACTTACAAAAGATGTCAGTTTTGACATGTCAACACTAAATAGCAACCATAGCAACAGCTCTTACCTCTAAACATGGAACAAACTCACATCTCACATCGCTGTCAGTGAATAAGCATGTGATGTGGGTTTCAGTGCAGAAGCAGCTCTGGAATGCGGTGGATGTGTTTGGGCTTCAGTAAATTTAAAGCCACACCTTTGTTGTCTGTGCTGTCTGCTGGGGGTTTCTGCAGCAGTTCGTCACACTTGGCACTGGCGTCAGCGTGTTGCCGAACAGTCGAGCTCTGCCTTCAGACAGGATTACTGAATCTATAAAACCTAAATCTCAGCTAAATCTGCTCTGCCTGATTATCTGACAGATTATTATATTCAAGATCCCTTTTAATGCACCTTATGAATTTAGCTGGAATTGATATTAAAGAGCTCATGCATATTATACTTTTATATTTTTGATATTTTAACATATTAATTTTTCTACTTAAAAGGTTGGACTTTTTTTCATTAATTTAGTTTTTCATGCCCATTTTCTCTCTGCCCCTGAAAACTTTTCTGCAATACATA